GGACTTAAAGTCCCTATAAGTCTTTGTGTAACATTAATATTTAAAAAAAATTTCATGTGATTATACATGAAGTCAAACCTATTTTGACTATTTGCAGATCTGGTCGAAATAAGGTCAAAACTGATTTTTACTATGTAGTTGTCTCAAGTTGATTGTAGAATTAATTTTTTTTTTATTATTTATTGGTTTAGATTGTAATTGTTACAATTAATTGTTATATATTTTTTAATTATTGATGGTTAATATTTTGTATTTTAATAAAAATAAAAAATTTAAAGCATATCTTCATTCTGCTTCTAATTTTAATTATTTTTCTTCTTCTTGGTAAATTTCATAAGTCTTTCTTTCTTTCTTTAGGTAGGCTTCCAGTGTCTGAGTATTATTTTATTTTGAAAACATAAGGTGTAATTTTTTTCATCCTGTTTTTTTTTTAAATTACTTCAAATGGTAGACCTAATGTAAATTAGCTATTTTTGTCTAAACAAATATCATTGATCACATTGCATTGGTAATATATACAATTGTGATATTAAAAAACAATATTGATCCCTGAAATTTTGGTAATGCCAATGTTCACTTTGTCTGGTTTTGTTGCAAGCATGCCCATATTATTTTTAAATTTACATCTTCATTAAAATGTCACATGATAGTCCTCTCAATTATGAAGACCAGCAGCTGATGTTTGGGTACATTTTATTAAAGAGCTTGTTAGAAAATTCTAAAGGTCATTTTTCTGCTAAATGTCTGCACTACCTCAAAATTTCAATGCGGAGAAGCAACAAGACTTATGGCTTATTTAGCAAATCATTGTATTGGATGTTATCTAGAAATAAGAAAATAGTATCTTGAATTAATTAACCAAAAAAATACTAGATCAAATGACATTTCACTTTCTTCAGAATAATCTTTACTTTCTAGATTTTATGAAAGCACTTCACTTACCAAAGAAAGGAAGCATTCTATTAATAGGTCCTTGATAAAAGCTTTTTGTATGTGCTGGTATTCCTTTTTCTCAATATAGAATCCATATTTTGTTGAGCTCTTGCAACAGTTATGTCCTGCATACCATCCACCATCAAGTGAAGTATTATCAGGTAGATTACTTGATAATGAAGTGGCTTTGGTAAATCAAAAGTTAAATAACATATTAGAAAGGGATAATAATTTAACACTAGGTAATTTTATCTATAGAATTTAATTTTTCTATTTATAAATAAATTTTGACAATATATATTATAATACCTTTAATTTGGTAATTAGCACTGGTTGTTCAAATCCAAGAAATATATCTGTCTGGAATTTTATAATTTATACATCAAGTAGGCAACAGTATCTTTACTGCCTAAAAGATTTTTCAGCAGAAAGTCATACAGGAAATTTATTGCATTTCAAGTTGAAGAGGTTCTTAATTAAGATTGGTACAAGAAAATAGTTACAGATGGAGCTGCTAATGTGAAAGAAGCAAGAAGAATAATCATATCTAAACATCCATATACGTCAGGAAATTTTTTCTGATGTGGATTTACATAATTATTACACTATTTACATAAGTTTACAGTGGGCCCTGTAATATTATGCAAATATTACAACTTTACATATTAAAATTTATGGATGTAATATTTATGGCAGGAAAAATTTCCTGATGTTAAATCTGTGCTGCATTGCACATTGTTTCAATTTGATACCTGGAGACATATTAAAACATTGATTTTCCAAAAATTTAATTTCTATATACAATAAAATTATTAAATTCTTTAAGAAATCACATCGTGCAACTAAAATTCTTGAAGATAGTATTGGAAAATTCCAAATAAGTGGTGGATCATTAAAAAAATACTGCAAGACTTGATGGGTATCTGCATATGACACAGTTGAATCCATTTTACAACTTCAGCCTTGCTTTAATATGGTAAATAATTTATTAAAATTTTTGTCAACGAATTTGCACTAATTAAATTTACATTTTATAGAAAATTGTGATGTGGTTTTTTTAGAAAACAATCTACATCAACTATAACAGCTTAGAATTATTAATTTCATCATGATAAATTAATAAGTCAATATCACCTTATACTTCATATAGTTCACATCAATTATAATTTATTGTCAAATTATAACATATAATAATTAATGTAAGTAGTTGCTTTTTTAGAAAACCTTTTCAATATTCAATTAATTCATTACTCCTATCTTTTAAATTTTCATCATCCTTGCTTTCCACTTTATTATTTAAAGTTGATTTTTTATTTAGATCATGATTGTGAAATTCATCAGAAAACCACCATAGAAAATTTGAATTTGTTGGATTATAGACATATATGTAGATATTGTAATGGTTGACATTTTCTAATTTTTGTATTGATGGGAGTGTTGAGTGAGTACTGCATACTGTTTCATGTACAGAGAGCATTATTTGGTGTGAAGGTGCAGATATATAGAACCTATATAGACCTCATATTGGAATAAAAGGATTTGAATAGGAGGGCAAGCTTATTCAAAAACATATTAAAAGCCATAATAATAGTCTAAGTTATGGGGACTCTTCAGAAATAGATAAGATTTTAGGTGAACAATTAAATGAAATTGATGCTGATTTTATTGATCAAAATTGACAAGATTTGATTGAAATCATATTAAAAGCCATCCATTACCTAAATTACATTCCATAGGTACATCACACATTAAATATTATGTCTCACTTGATGGTTAAACAGCTGAAACTCGTGAGACTCTAAATGATTAGATAAAGAATCAAAATTCTAAATCAAAAGAAATAATTTCTTGATAAGGATCCAAGAGCTGACAAAACATTGTAAATAAATATAGAAGCCCAACTATTTGAAACTGCAAAACCTTATTCTGACAAATACATTATGATCTGCATGGATGAAGAAGAACATCCAAATGACAATGTAAATTGCTATGGGAAAGTTGTATGATAATTATCTTTAAATTTATTACATTTTGCATGAACTAACCTTTATGCTATTCGATATTCAGGCTCTCCTGCTATTTGAACTCAATTATTCAGATAGAACTTGGCTTTAATTCAATGGTATGATTTTAAATACAAAAATTCAAAAAAGGTTTATAAATATCCACATCCAATATCCCAAGTCAGTTGAAAATTATTGTTAACATTTTTTTTGTAAAGAAAAAAATAAATTTTTTTTGTTGTACAATAAAATGAAAAATAATTTATTTATTTCCAACCTATATATTAATAATAAGTATAAAAAATTTATATGATTTAATTTAAAAACCCTAAATCTTGATATTTTTTTATCAATTTGTCAAGATCACTAATTTCTGATAATCCCTTGAATTTTATTGTAAATGGTTTGGGTCCTTTCCAATACTTCATTAAATTATCAAAAGATTTGTCACTAATATTAGAAACCTCAAGAAAAAAAATTATAGATTTTAATTTTTTTGGTAATGCTTGATTTAAAGTTGCTAAAACCCTATCACCATCTATTTTATCCAAAGAAAAAAAATCAAGTTTTTTAAATTCAATACTTTTTAATTTAATACAATTGTTGAATACCTCCATTAACTCCTGGTCCATTTCATCCTTATAAAATATTGATAAATCTACTAGATTTTTACAACATTGTGCAATTGATTGAAATAACTTTCTCAAAAATTCACTATCATTTGGTGTGCCATCAACATTCAGATTTTTAAGAGCTTCTCCATTGATATTAATAAAATCAGACAAGTCTGATAAAAATGAATGATGAATCTGTAGCTTCACAGATTCAAGGTTTGGCAGTAAAATATTTTTCAAACATTTTATTCTATCATCATTACCATAAAGAGCAGCAGTTGATATTAATGATAAAGTCTTTAGATTTTTAAGTGCTGGTAATAATATGTGATCTATATTATTTTTTCCTCTGCTTGAATAATGGATTATTGATTGTGAATGTGTGAGTATTGCTTTTTTGAAATTATCTGATAAAGCTTGACTAGTGCATGAATCAATGGCTAATTTCTTTATTTGATTTTGTGCTTTAATTAGCTGAACCAGACTATATTCAAGTTTATTGTTATAAGTATTATGATATATTCGTAATGAATGAATAGATTTGCAAATATTTGCTAATTTATCAATAAATTCACTTCTAACAGAACTGTAACAAGTTAATTTATTAAGATACTGAAAACTATTATTAAATCTATGATAATTATTTACCCAATGACAATTTATATTAACAGTAATAAGTTCTTTAATAATTGCTGAATGATCTAAAATAAATTTTACTAGTCTATTTTGTAAAATATTTAAACCAGGAGCTTTTGTCAGCATTCGAAAATCATAACTATTGATAAAGTAAAGTTTAGTGCAAAATCGAGCATAATTATATAATGGTTGTTTCTCCAATCGGTCAAAAGTTAACTCAATACCATTTCTAGTTAAGAAATCCTTATCTTCTTCCTCCAATAAACAATTGATTATTATTTTAGTGCTGTTAAGAGAATAACATGGATTTCTCCATAAAATTGGAATATTAATATTGTGCCATTGTTTATTGACAAAAACGCAAGAATATAATGTTGTGTAATCACTTTCATTGTATCTAAATATTTCAGTTAAAAGCTCAAGTGGTAAAGTCATTGCTAACAAAAATTGTTTTTTAATTTTATTTGTTTATTTGTTGCACAATAAAATGAAAAATTATTCATTACTCCCAACCAATTAAAATAAAATGATTAATTATGGAAGGAATGGTTTAGAGTTTGGTTTGTACTTTCAAAATGAATAAAAAAGAAGTTAACAATTTTGATTTGAGGACAAGTTTCAACTCGATAAACCCATAACATGAAATTCAAGTTATATATATATATATATATATATATATATTGATTAGTTGTAACCGTTTTTGCTGACATATTTCTACATTTGAAGATTTTATCGACTTTAAACAGGACTTTAACATATTATCAACCTAGTTAGTGCTATATTTGGTTAACCAAATATATCTGGTAACTAATATAATAAATAAATAATGAATGATTTTAGTAAGGGGTTGCTAGGAGTTTTATTTCACATCAAAATTTAAATTTAATAAAGCTATATTTCAAAAAGTTGATTTTTAATTGAGAATAGTCAAGAATTTGTAGTCGGTATATACTTGTCCCTCAGCAAATCATACTTTTATCAATGTTCGATGTAACATGTGGTATAATTAATCCTTGGTTTTATGAACAGTTAGAGCAAGTGCATTCTGAAGAGAGAATTGTTTTCTAGATGCTCCCTCTTTTATTTCAAAATAACATGTTTCTCTTTGAGAAATAATCTTGCTTGTACTGGTCAGGGTAGAAAGGTCACTTTAGCATTCTACAACGTGCCTCCTAATTAGAACGATTCAACACGATGCTTCTTTTTTTCATAGAACAGTGCATTTCCGCCAGTTGCTCCCTCGGTTGAAGTTACGATTGGCAATAAAATAGTACAAATTATTACTATTATTAATTTGTAGATTTTTAATTTGAAAGTTTATGCACCTTTTTTTTTTATAACAAGGTTACATCTTTAAATGGCTAAAGTTCTTTTATATAATAATTAATCCAAATCTTTTAAAAATATAAAGAAGATTATTGATACTTGCCTCCACCACAAAAAAAAAATAGAATAATTCGTGAATTTTTAAACAATAGATTTTTTTTAAAAGATTATTAATATTAAAAAATAATTCGTGAATTGTTTGCTGTTAATTTAATCAATAGGATTTTTATTTGTAAACATATTCCAAATTCAAAATTTCTCGGTAACACTTGCAAATTGTATTGTATGGTATGGTGTGGCCATATTAAGTCAATGCTGAATCTTCTTTTGGAGGGTGTGGTGTGAAGGGGAGAATGTTGAATTTAAGCACTGGTATGGTATGGTATAAAATACCATATAATACGGCAAAAGGGCTTGAGAAATTGTTCTTTGTGGATACCATATGGAATGAATTTGAGAACTTTAGATAACTCTGTCCAGTCTGATGTTATCTGTTGAAAGATTAATTGAATATTTTTTAAAGATTTTAAATAAAAAAATTGGGTCACAACTATAAATTACACTTTGACGATTTTTTTATTAAAAGTCATTGCTTACTTTATGTAGTAAACATAGTGATTATTCTATTTTTTCAAATATTATTGACAAATTCAGTAGCTAGCTAACGAACAATATTTTATTGTATGGGACTACAGCTCGTATTGATACTTTTGGCAAAGTTCTAAATTTGAGAAAAAAGAAAATTAAACTAGAATGAATTCAATTTATAATTACCACTATTGTAATCTAAAAAGAAGGAAAACTATTTAGAATGATTATAAATTAATTAATACATAAGCAATATAGAACAAATATCTGGTGACACCACTATCTGAACATTAGGATGAAAAGTTGTGGTCGAAAGTGCTCTAGGAGTAATCATAAATGTAGAGAATGTCGAGGAGCAAGAATCCTTGAATAGTTGGTTGTAAGAAATTTTTCCATCCAAAATAATTAATTGGAAATTGTCAAAGCTTGACTTGTACAATCCTAATAAATATATTAATCAACAAAGAATCCCTAAATAATGCAAACATAACTTACTACAAGTTTTCGCATTGATTTTAAGACTATTTTTATAAATTTGTTTGCAAAGCTTTGAACGAAAAAACTGTGTTCGAATCAAATCAAACCGGACTGTAATATAAATAATAAGTAATATGACAATAATATATATAAATAAAGTTGTGACGTTTCGTTTTAATTTAACGCGCTACGCGAAATAAATTTCGTATTACTGTGTCACATTAGATATTCACAATTATGAATGAAAAAGAACTGTTACAGTCAGGAATTAAATTTTCTACCAAACAAATAAGGTTCCAACCATATGCGCCGATTTTATTTGAACCCAAAATTCAGTACAGCATGATCAAACGTTATGAATACTTTGTACTAGCAACAACTCATTGATTTGACGGGCTATTGAATAGTAAAATAGTTTTTTTAGCAGAGCAAATAAATTTTAAAAATACTTGCAGACACAATGAGACATAAAGCTTGAAAAAAGGGTCCAAAAAATCAAATCATCTGATATGCAAATTGATAAATTCACCTAATTCTTGGATCTGTTTCATTTGAATCAATATATAAATTGATCCAATGAATCATTATTTGATTTGATTTGATTTGATTTGATTGATTCAATCTGATTCAGATCAATACATAAATACTAATACTAATACTATCTAATGCATATAAATAAATTAATCTAATGGGAATTCTTTGTTTTGGCAAATCTTGTTATCGCGTTATGTCAAATTACTTGTCAGTTCGGCTCAATCTGGTTTTAGAGTTTAATCAAATTGAACTTTTTTAAAAAACAGGCTTTTGAGCAATCAAATTCGAAATATAAATTACGCAATATTAATATATTTATTATTTGCTGTTAATTTTCTTGAACATGTGTTTCAAACATTGCTAATAAATTAAATTATTTATGACATAATCTTTAAAATAGAATTTGTGTTTAAACTCAGTATAATTATGCACTGGTTACAAAGAATCTTTAAAATTTTTGCTGTGATTTTAAATGCAATTTTTGATTTATTCGTTCTTGTTATCAGGTAGGTCCGACGTATTACTGGCAGAAATAAATTTTTTTTCTTTAATTCAAATATATTCTTATTATTAAACGATAAACTGATTGTATCACATGATTATAATATAAAGTTGCAAAAAATGTTTGCTTATTTCTGCCAGTGATTACATAGGACCTATCTGATATTTACAATTGATTGGTCCGACTTATCGAGTTTATAACTTACTTAATAACAGGTTTGAAAATATGATATCCACTTCTTTTGTTGATTATTCACCCAATCCAAGGATCTACATTTTCACATGATATATTATTTATAAGTTTCGATTTTTGATTAGTTTTTCATTACACGGTATGAAAATAAAAATCAAAGCTTATTGCACACACACGTTATAGTGGACTTTTTTATAATACTCTTATAATTAATTGTCTCTCGTTACAATAGGAAAAAAACAAAATTTTACATATGGAACTGACAAGCTTTGACTATTTATTAATAGTAGATGATTATAGCATAGAAACGGTTGAAATGATTAATGATGATGAGATAATTGCTGTCAAATACAATTGTTCTAAATATCATTCAAAATTTAAATATTTGCAACAAAACAAAATTCGATATAAGGTAATAGTTTGATGGTATCAGAAACGAGAGATTTGCAACATCAAATTAGAAAAAACAAAAGCAACCTACTTTAGAAAGTTTTTGATAAATTTTCAAAACTATAACGCGGTTTACTTGATAAGTCACCATCTCCACATAACCAACTTATCGAGTCTACATATTGACTATATATTAAAAATATAAATTCTAGACAATGAAATTATTCCAAACGCATTCGTTATTATATCAACTTTTAATCAAATATTTAACAATTTTTTAATTATAAAACTTATTAATTAATACATTAATGTTCTTGTAATGAGATATGCAGCCGAAGATTTTAAAAAATATTTAAAATCAAATTATAAAGGATGGAATGATAAAATTAAAAAACTTTATAATATTATCTCAGGTTTAAACACACTTCATCAAGAAAAACTTATACATAGTGATCTTCACAGTGGTAATATTTTATATTTTGAATATTTATCTGAGACAATGATTGCAGATTTAGGGTTATCAGGCCCAGCTGATCAAGAAACATCAAGTAAAAATGATATAGTTGGAGTACTGCCATATATTGCACCAGAGGTATTAAATAAGAAACCTTATACACAAAAATCTGACATCTATAGCTTTGGGATTTTAATGTCAGAAACATCAACACATCAACAGCCATTCAAAGATCAACCACATGATATAGATCTTGCTTTCAAGATCTGTGGTGGCTTAAGGCCTAGTTTTTCAGATAATACTCCAGAATGTTATATTAAGTTAGCATACAAATGCATGGATGCTGATCCTGAAAAAAGACCAACAGCTGATGAAATTTTAAAAATTATTACTTTTTGGAAGGATGCAATTGAATCTAATATTTCTAGTTATTCTGAAGAACAACTTGATGAATTAGAAGAAATAAAAAAAATATTTGAGGAAGCAAATAAAAAACCCTTTAATCCTTCAACAATTATAGCAATTGTTCATCCAAATGCTGTTTATACAAGTAGATTATTGAATTTTACAAATCTTCCTCAATCTGTAAACTCCAATAAAGTTACAATTATTAGTAATAACAATGGTAATTATCATCAACTATTTGATTATTAATTTAAATTCAATATCAACATTAATGTTAACATAAATTATCACATTTACAGTTTCTCACCTAATGGATATAAATATTTAAATTATTGGAATTTTTCACATTAGTTTTTTTTATCTTTTTTATTACCATTACAAGAAAGTAATTTATATCATTAACAATGTGATCAGGTATTACATATTTTATTACATGATATATTTTGACTATCTATTTTAAGTTCAGACTAATTATAAAAATTAGAACCAACCACCTAAAAATTTTTTAATTGTAAAAACCTTCAGTTAACCAGTTAAATAAACTGTTAACTGAAGATTTATTTAGTTGATCATACAAGATTACTTATTTGTTAAATTATTTTCATTTAAACCACTGTATTTAGCCTATGACTGACATTAGTTTTGGTGTTATATATAGTAATTACATATATTATTTAATTATTTCAATAAAAATTTTTCTTTTTAAAAATAAAATTTCATTAAAAACTTTGAAGCTTTAAATTTTATCAAGCAACAAATGATTGAACTGCAAGAAATCCAAATCAAATTATTGTAAAAGATCAGGTTAAAAAAAATGGGGTTTTTATTAATTAAAATTAAGGTTGCTTGCCAAAACTCTAATGAACAATTAGTAATATACCTTGTCAAAACAAAACTATGACAATTGACCAAACCTCCAGATGCAAAACTCTGCCAAAACTCTAATTAACAATTAATGTGTAACCTGTCAAAACTCTGTTGATTAATTTCTGGAGGAGTTTTGCCCATAACCTTACTGTATATATACACTTGAATCAACTTTAAATTCATTTGATTCCATTTGAAGCTAAATTTCTCTCACTCTAATTAAATTATTTTGTCTTCGATTGTGTAATGATCTTCAAACCAATAAAATCAGCATAGTGGACATTTGCATATTTGGTAATGATTGCAACAATCACATTTTGATTTTATCACGTAAAAAAGAATTTTGATTGGACTGAATATCATTACTAAATAAGCAATTAGAAAGGGGATAACTATATACCAAAATCGTGATTTTGAGTTAACAACACTCCTATGTGTAATTTGGTACAAGGATTAATTTTACCTTAGAAACAATACCCACTTTACTTAATAAAATTTCGAGATAATTAAAGAAAACTTCAAGACGTACAAGAACCAACAAATTGGTATTATACTAAAACAAGTAATAGTAATGACAAACCTAAATCCGGAAATTTGGTTCAAATCATGTAACACGAATTTATTAAATGAATTTTGTTATTTTTTTTTTAATAATAATAAATTTTGTTATTATTATTCTTTTTAATGGATTTTTACCCTTGATCACAATAATCTTTGTAGAAAATTTAATAACACTTTGTTTATTATAGCTTTATTATATTACTCAAATAAAAAAGCCCTTCTACAGTGGAAATTACTTGATCACTGAATTTTTTATTGCCACGTAGATATATACTTGTATTACATTATTTGAATCAAATGCCCAACTCGCAATAGATAATTGGTATGGCACCAAATCACGTGATCCTTTAATTTCTCCAAAAATGGAATTTAACCAAAAAAAAAAACAAAAAACAAATCATAGTTCAGTAGTTTGAAAACCAAGATCTTTTTCTCTACAAAGTTACGATTTCATTTGTTGATATGTCATGCTACCATGGAAATAATCAAGCCTCGGAGTTGCACATGCTAAAATTGGCAATTTTTTTTATGTAACAACTCTTTAAAGATGTGTCACAAGTAGGGATGGGGTGATTTGGTTTGGTTTGGTTCTGGTTCCATGGAACTGGTTACAATAGAACCAAACTGAACTGAACCATTCAAACTGGTTCTTGGAACCGGTTCCAAAATAGATGTAACACAAAATATTGTCAAAACTAATTTTCTTTGAAAATTTTCACTACATATAAAATTTTCTTTAAGGGTATTACTTCCTAATATGAAAACAGTCTATGAGATACTATCTAGTCATTGTCCATATTTAATGTTGACGATTATTTTTGTTTTGCCAATCACTAGATTGACCAATAGGAATGAAGTAAGGTAAATGAAAATGACAAAAACAGATATTAAAGTATTCTGATATGGCAAAGTGGTTTTGACCTCAAATAAATTTAAATTAATATTAACAGATGGTCTTTTGGCAAATTGCAAATGGTTTTTTTTGAATTGTATAAAAAAAAAGGACTTTGGCAAATTGCAAAAAGGCTTTTGACATAAATCATTTTAAATTTTAAAAAATGGACTTTTGGTGTGAATTGTAAAAAGAATTGTAAAAAATAGACTTATGGTATGAATTGTAAAAAATGGTCTTTTGGCGAATTGTAAAAAATAGACTTTTGGCATGAATTGCAAAAAGATTTTTTGAATTGTAAAAAATGGTCTTTTGGCAAATTGTAAAAAAAAGACTTTTGACATTATCTTAACAGATCATTTAAATTGTAAAAATAAACTTTTGGTGTGAATTGTAAGAAAAGACTTTTGACATTATCCTAATAAATCATTTAAATTGTAAAAAATAGACTTTTTTGAATTGTAAAAAATGGTCTTTTGGTGAATTGTAAAAAATGGTCTTTTGGCAAATTGTAAAAAAAAGATTTTTGGAATTATCTTAACAGATCATTTAAAAAAAAAATAGACTTTTGGCGTGAATTGTAAAAAGATTTTTTGAATTGTAAAAAATGGTCTTTTGGCAAATTGTAAAAAAAGATTTTTGAAATTATCTTAGCGTTATTAATCTTATTTTTATTGTTGTTGATGCCACCAAATTATCTCCTGAAGATATCCAAAAAATAACCTTCTTTCTTTGTTAAAGTAAAAAATTAATTATTAAACGGATATTTTTTTTTTGAAGTGGATGATAATAATAATTTTATTCGTGTAACGTTTATATTGAATGACATTTGATTTGCAATGTCCAGAGACAAACCATTGTCTTGTTCTAAAGTGATAGTGGTGCTAGTCACTAGTAGACTTAATTGGATCGACTGGAGACTAATACGTGCCCTACAATCTTTATCATAAAGTTCATTTTGAGTAAATTATTCTGCAGTATAACACAATGATGAATTATCGTGTGCATTTTCCTAATTACGCGTTATACTACCAGTTTGGCTTCACTTGAGCACGATGCTTTCTATGTTTGTTAATACACGTCTTTGGTACTGGCACTAATGTTGTTTGACGAAATGTTAACAAAGTTGTAAAGCTATCACGTCAAATTCGCTGCCATATGACGCAAATAAAATTGCTATAAAATATAAAAATTCACAAAAAAAACTTATAAATATGTATTCAAGGTCTTTTTTTTTATATTTTTCTTGTATATCCCAATCTCTTCTTTTGTTTTCCAAGGAGCTAAATTTTTCTTTTGCTGAATACAAATTCAGTTTTCACACACTCATTTACTACTATACTCGAAGATTAATAAACGTGGTACATGATCGGGATCATCGGTTAGGGATTTGGTACTTTGCCAGGGTCAACTATTTTTAATATATAATTATCAAATGAAATTTTACGCAAAAGCTATGGAAGTTTTTATAATATCAATATTGATTGATTAAGTTACTTTACAAATAATCATCCCATCTTTATCTATTATTAGTTATAGTGATCATTAAGAATAACTTCTGGTATTTGCTTGAAAAAGCATAACTTCGGGTTCTTGCTTGAAAAAAGCAGAGGAAAATAATAGACAATTAACATTCTAACCAAATAAAACTCTGTGATAGAATCATTATTTTTATTAAATAAAATTAATCGTTTATAAATTTCAAAAATAAAATAAATAAAAATATTGTCTTTATTTTCTTTATTTAATGTGCTTTGATAAAAAGCAACAAGTGCAGTTAGTGCCTTGGTAAAAAGTAACAATTGTGGAGCTTTGGTAAAAAGCCACGTTTATTGCTTTAGTAGCAAGAGAGGTTAGGTCTAACAAGTGAATGCTAACTAAGTATTGTCCAAGGTTAATTAGAAAATACTGGTATTATTATTGTAGTCGTAAGCGTAAGTCTGTTAAACAAGTTAGTTAATAGCAATCAACTCACAACAATTGGTGTTTGTCAATTAATTAGTTTATAAATTTACATTAGTTCTCGGTTACTGTCTCTTTCTTGGATCTCGACGAATCTGAAAGCAACTTAATAGTACCAGATAACTGTACTGTAAATAGATGGCCTTTTACAAGGCTATAAAATTCTTTTTATTCACTTGTGATCAATTTATTTCGGACATTTACATTCATTTATTGGCTGATTGCAAACTCGCTTTGATTTTATTTGCAAAGCAATTTAAGAGTGGCCCAAAAGTCAAGCCATAATTATTAATTAACCGAAATGATACCTTGCAATATCGCCATTTAGCAAGAATCAGAAAACTGTAAGAAGTTTATTATTATTCAAAATATTGTTACATGATAAGAAATTAAAATAAGGATAAAATAAAAAGATAAATAATTATAATGTGATATAGATCTTGCTTTCAAGATCTGTGATGGCTTAAGGCCTAGTTTTTCAGATAATACTCCAGAATGTTATATTAAGTTAGCATACAAATGCATGGATGCTGATCCTGAAAAAAGACCAACAGCTGATGAAATTTTAAAAATTATTACTTTTTGGAAAGATGCAATTGAATATAATATTTCTAGTTATTCTGAATATGATTATTCTAGTTATTCTGAAGAGCAGCTTGATGAATTAGAAGAAATAAAAAAATTATTCAAGGAAGCAGATAAAAAACCCTTTAATCCTTCAACAATTACAGCAACTGTTCATCCAAATGCTATTTATACAAGTAGATTATTGAATTTTACAAATCTCCCTCAACCTGTAAACTCCAATAAAGTTACAATTATTAGTAATAATAATGGTAATTATCAAATTTATTATTTAAAAATTTAATCTTAATTATTTATTATTAATGATATTTTAAATCATAAACAATTATAGAATCTAAACAAATTGAATTAACTATACCAGAATAAATTTTATTTATCTGATATTAAAATTTTCACATTAATTTTTTTATTATTATCAAAAAAAATTTTTTTAATGATTATATGCTATCTATTTTAAATTAAAGCAAACCCTCCTTATGATTGAAGTGACTATCATAGCAGTATATCCATTGATTATCTGGGTATTTGAGTACTTGGTCAATCAATAATAATAAAGCTTAACACCTGGATAATCAGTCAGTAAATAAAATTCAAAATCCAGTGAAAATTTTCAACATACAATTAACTGGACAATTGGTGAATAATTAGTGAATATCATTTGGTGGATACAACCACTAACCTATCACCATGTCTCTTATCATCATTTATTTATTATTTATTAGTATTTTTATATTCAACATTTATATATACTGTTTTAACATTTTTATCATCTATAAACACTATAAATAATAATAATAAAAATGATCATTGTGAGATAAAAATCCATACCTCACTGTGGTGTTACAAATTATAATAAACACAAACATAGTTGACCACACATATAAAAAATCATATGTGCGGATTTTTCGCCGATCAATAAATGTAAATTTTTTCAATATGAAAATTCAAACTCTATCTCCTCTAGATTTGTAAAATAAACCTTTGTTTAAATTTGAT